ATCAATAAATCCACAAATGACAAGTGTCGGTGAGGAAATGGAGAAAAGGGAACCCTCATGCACTGTTGGTGGAAATACAGATTGGTGCAGCCACTGTGGAAAACACTATGGAGTTTCTAAAAAAAATTAAAAATAGACAAGTACCCATCAGTAGATTAGTGGATAAAAAAAGCTGTGGTACTGCCCTGGCTGGTATAACTCAGTTGGTTGGGCATCCTCCCAGGCACTAAAGGTTGCTGGTTCGATTCCTGGTGAGAGTACATGTCCGGATTGCAGGCTCAATCCCAACTAGGGGGTGTGCAGGAGGCAGCTGATCAATTGTGCTCTTGCACAACCATTTCTCTCTTCTCTTTCTAAAAATCAATAAATTATTAAAAAATAAAATAAAAACACTGTGGTACATTTACACAATGGAATACTACTTGGCCATAAAAAAGGAAACCTTACCTTTTACAACAGCATGAATGGACCTAGAGGACATTATGCTAAGTGCAATATGCCAGTAAGAGAAAGACAAGTACCACATGATTCCACTTATATGTGGAACCTAGTGAACAAAATAAACAAACAAAGTAGAAGCAGCTGTCGGGGGAGGGGTGAAACAGGTAAAGAGATTAAGCAAAAAAAAAAGCAAACCCAAACAAACCCAAACTCACAGACACAGAGAACAGTGCAGTGATTACCAGAGGGAAAGGGGGGTAGAGGCAGGTAGAAGAGTGGAAAGAAGGAATAAGTAGTGAAGGAAGGAAACTAGACTTTGGATTGTGAACACACAATAAAACACACAGAGGATTTATTATAGAATTGTATACTTGAAACCTACATTATTTTATTAACCAATATAACCCCAATACATTCCATTAAAAATAAATGAATAAAAATGTTAGAAAATGTACCATGCAGCCACAATGCACTTGAACTCTAGCCAGGGTCAAGTGGTCATAACATCATCCTGTTCCCTCCTACCCCAACCTGCCTGGCCCAAGTTCACAGTTCCTGTGAATGTGTTGCCATGTCCGCACTAAACACAATGGCTTTGCAGCTCACCTTATAAGTAGAAATAAAAACCCAGGCACTCTGAACCATGCTCAAAGCTCACAACGTGGCTAGAGCTATATACCTACTGTGTGTGTGTGTGTGTGTCTCCAGGACCTCCACTACATCCCCTCTCCCACCATGTCCCCCTCTGGTTTCTTCTTCCTACCAACCTCCCCTGCCCCAGGCCTCCGATGTCACCCATACCCAGTGCCTGTGCCAAGGTGCTCCCTAGGTGGCAACTCCGTCTGTCTGACCTGGTTTCCCAGGGGAGCTGAGGGCTTGGAGCCTCTGGGCCCATGAGCCTCCAAACTCAGATAAAGAAACACAGGTCCAGCCCCAGCCCCAACCCCAACAGGGACCCTGGGCCAGCGCCTAACAGCTGCAAATCTTGGTTTCTTCATCTAAAAATAACAGACATTAGACCACAGGCACTCTACACTCTGCGCCAGCTCTAAATTTTTTATGAATTAATAATGCCCTGCCATAAACCTCTTCTTTTTTCTAGTTTATCTTCAAGAGATTGAAGTTTAGAAATAAAAGCTGGGATTTTCTTGTTGTTGTTGTTTAATCTGCTTCTTTTGCTCTGTTTAGGAATACTTTCAAACTTCATAAAGCGTCTCTAACCCCAAAGTTTGAGAATCACCAGGTGAAGGAGGACACTAACCACATAATCTCCCTGACTACAACCAAAGGAAGCTTCCAGAAACTTCCTGTGTGCCACAGAGAACAATAAACAAAAGGCAGCAGATTGAGGCTTCAAGAATTTTTAGAGACCTCATTCTCTAAACCGCAGAAGGGGGACACTATTCCAACCTGTTAGAGATCTCATTCTCTGAGATGCAGAGAGAGGACGCTCTTCCAAACTGGCTGGGGGCTGGTGGGCAGGGTGGGCACCAGGACAGCCCACAGTGCTCAGAGCAGATGGGCAAAGACCCCAACCCCTCAGCCCCAGAGAGTAGCTCCAAAAACATCCACACACACTAGGCAGCAGGACTTGGAAAATCAGGTCATGGGGCTGGGTCCGCTTTCCCCTCCTTCCCAGGCCCTGAGGGAGCCTGTAGGGACCCAAGAGTCGGTCCTGGTCATTAGTTCCTGGGCTTCAGCCTCAGCCAGGATGCCATTCACATCCTGAGGCCCCCAGGAAAAACTCAGTCCTCCCCCTCCCCCAGGAGAGCCAGGAGTGTGGTGCAGGATAGTGTGGGGGGTGCTGCTCTCTGTAAACCCAGCAGAGAAGCAGGAAGAGGGTTAGAGGTGAGGACATGTGTGAACATGTGTGAAATTGTCCCCTGAGCTCCAACTGGGAGACTGGGCGCTTTGTGTGTAAGCTCCTGTATTTATAGCTCGGAACAAGAGTTTTAAAAAGATTTTATGATTAAGATTTTATTATCTTAACTTTGAACATGAATAGTAAAAAAGTAATGCCAATTATCTTTGCCAAGAATAAAATTCAAACTGCCACATCTCCTGCTCCAATTTTACTAGCACTGACAAAAAAATTTTTTAAGGAAAAATAATATTTAAGAGTTTGCTTCCTAAAAACTTGATAAATCATAAAGTAAGAAGGTATTTCCGCCCCTGGAAGCACGACATTTCCCCCTGCACTCCCGCTGGACCCACGCTCTGCTCCAGACAGAACTGAAATGAAACTCGCTCTAAGACGGGAGTTCCCCAAACACCCACAAACCCAGCAAACTACACGGCAAGAATGTACTTCCTCATATAATTTTATTTTTTAAAAAGGAAGTGATTTATAAGCTTATTGATCCTCATGCGAGCACACCTAAACCCTTCAGCAGGGCAGAGACCTTGGGGGGCCGTGGGGTCATGTGGGACCATGGGGGTCATAGGGGTTCACAGAGGCTATGGGAGCTGGGTGAGGTCATGGGGGATACAAAGAACCACCAAGCTCCATCTGGCACCAGTACCCCCAAATCCTATGCTGCAAACTTCTTCTGCTCTCCCAGTCTCCTCAAATCACCCTAGATGTTATCTGTCTGTCTGTCAGTCTGTTCATCATCACGCTTACTGGGCCCCCTGCACTCAGCTACCCACCCAAGTTCTCAGAAATGGGGGAGCTCACAGCCGGGCAGATGGAAGGCAGAGGGTTGGACACAGTGAACACACAATGAAAAGGTGCGGCACAAAGGGGGGATAGCAGGGGACCAGAAAGTTTCGGGGTGAGGGAGGGGTCTGAGAAGATAAAGCAGAGCGAGGACCTATGGGGAGAGATGAGGAGGGCTGGGATGAGGAGGAGCAAGTTGGCCAAAGCCAGCCACCACTGAAGCCTGGTCACAGGTCCCTGGCCATCCATCGTTCTGTCTTCTTGTCATTTCTAATTAAAAAGTTGAAAGGGAATAAGGGGAGAGGGTGCCAATCTCTGTGGGGCTTGGCTGAGTAGGATAAGAAAGGGCGTCAGGCAGGTTCCCCTTCCTCACCAGAGGGCTACAGACCGAGACTGATGCCAAGGCCTGGGATGACCAGAGGTCATGCCTCCCCCACCACAGCCCACGCCAATTAAACAGCTGAACATCTAAGAACTTATGAGACTGATCAGAGAAGCGGCCAAGAGGACCCAGAAAAGCATCCAGGGAAGCTGGACTGAAGAGCTGGAGTCAGAGAAGGGCCGGGGGCTGAGTGAGACGAGGGCAGGACCTCACCTAGTGTCTCCACTTCACACATGCAGCCTCACCAGGCCCCCAGGTGGCCCAGTCCCACTCTGGTCAGTGAGGCCACTCCAGGCCAGCCAAGGTCAGCCACATGTCTCTGCGGGAGGGCTGAGCCCAGGGGACAATCTGTCCTGCAAAGGGTGGCACCCCACTGGGGAGAAGACCCTGAAGGCCTGTGAACCACATGGAGGTAATTCCAGTAGCATGAGCGTCAGGTGGGGAAGAACCGGGGTTTCCTTTCAGGCCTGCCTGCCACTCTGGTTGCTGCTGAGCAGGTTAGGGTGCATAATCACCACCTGGGGTGAAGCTGCTGGCAGTGTTCAGAGAAGTGGGGACTTGACCCAGCTTAAATGGCACCAACAGCCCACCATTTCTGCCCTTCAACCCATCAGCCTAGCAGATGAACCAAATGTGGGGAGGAGAGGAGTCGAGGAGGCTTCACCTGGGGGCATGGAACCGCCCACCAAATAGGGCTGGGGGGTAAGAACCGGTTCTGCTCTGGACATCGGGGTCCAGTGGACGCTCGGGGGAACACGTGAACCCAGCTTCTCCCGGGAAAGCACCTTGGGCTTCAGGGGCCACCTACCATGGGCTTCTCTCCCTGTGTCCCCCACACCCTCTCGTGGAGGGACAGCTGCATCCTCCCAGCTCCTTCTGAGAAAGGAGAAGCCAGAGTCTGGGCGCTCAGAGCCTCTGACCCCTGGTGAGGCACGACATGCTCACTCTGAAACAGTGACTTGATACAACCCAGAGAACTCCTCACCATTACATCTCCTTAAGAAACTGACCACAGCTCCCCATCCTGCATGTAAAGGCCCACATGACAGGGTCAGGGAATCACCCCAGAATCACGAAGAGGGTGTCCATCTCAGGTGAAAAGGCCAACCCAGCCTTGACATCCAGAGAGTAATCCCAATAAGTGGACCAGCCAGCCACGCCTGCCAGACCCAAGAAGCTTGGTGTGCAATTTTCTAGCCTTAATTTGAAAGGGAAAAAAAAAATCCTGCTTAATATTTTATTAGGTTCTCCCATGGACAAGTAAAATCAGAGAATGCAGAATGAAAATGGTTTTCATATTTAAAGCCTGGCCATGGCTGTTTCTCTCATCCAGCACCTCGCCCGGAGCACCTGAGACCACGACTTCTCGCTGCTCCCAGGAGGTCCTGGGACTCCATCCACAGATACTTCTCAGAGCCTGAACTTCTAGTTAACTGTCAACGGACACACCCTCAGGGTCCGGGCGAGATGGCCTCTGCACACTGACCATGCGAGTGACCCGAGGGCGAAGGAGCTCACCTCCAGCAGCAGCCTTCCCTCCAGCACGGCTGACCCTCCTCTCGGGCCACTGTCTCCTGGTGAGGGGGCACTGAGCACCGGCTGCCGCGGGCACTTCTCCTGCACGGCTGTCGGAGAGAAACAGCACGTTAGCACCCTTCCCGGGCTCCAGGCCTGGCTGCCAGCCGTTGTTCAGTTACATTTCTCCACCCTTCACCCCACCATTCTCCACTGCCATCCTCTTGAAGCAAAGTCGCAATCCCACGCTGACCTGCGGCCACCAGGACACGCTGGGGCAACTCGGCCTCCCCAGGAAGAGGGCAGGGCAGAAGCCAGGACATCCAACCAGGGCAGCCAGGTGGGAGCAACTTGCTAACATCTGGGAGGTCAGGACATCACGGGCCGGCCGCTGGCCCTAGCCTGAGGGCCCACCCTACTCTGCTCCCCAGAAACTGCTCTCTGCCCCCTCCTACAAACCCCTCGGAGCCCCACTGACTTCAGGGACCCATGGTGTAGAGCAGCCCACACCCCACAGGCATCCATTACTGCACTGATCCCCCAGTCCAGGAAGTCCCCCCTTGCATTGCCACCTTTCTCCATGCTGCTGGGGCACCCTTATCCCCCTCCCATCCCCACGTTCCCACCCCCTCCCCAGGCTTGCCTCATCTCCACTTTGGAACTCACACAGACCTGCAGACAGACACATCTCAGCTCCCTGGAGCTGGTTAGGCACCTTCAACTCCATGCTCAACATCCTCATTGGCACCCAGGAGTTCTGGGAGGCCGAGGGGCAAGGAGGACAGGCAGTGGGGGATCCAGTCAGCAGAGGGCGGTGGGGAGTGCCTCCAGCTTCCCTCACTTCTGGGATTTGCAAACCGAAGCTACAGGTGAGTCAGTGCAGCTGAGGGCCAGGGGCCCTTCTGGAGGTGGAGCCCAAGCACCTGCTCTGGTCTTGGGATAAAACATAAGCGTGGACACTTAAATCTCCAGCATTTTCTCTTTCAAACCCAGCAGGTTGTGCTGAACTTTCACTCCAGGATGTGCTGGTGGGTGATGCTTGTCTTACGCGGGCAGCTTCCCCCATGGATGGTGGGAGAAACCACAGGCTCTGCCTTCGCCTCCCCACTGAGCCCCACTCAGCCGCGCCTGCTCCCCACAGACACGCCCTCGCTCCTGTTAGTGAGAGGTGGGCAGCATGTGCTCTCAAGATTTCCAGGCCTCCAGACCCACAGCACAGCAAGGCCTGAATGTGAGCTCCGGCTTGAGACACCGAGTCTGACCCTCCTCCCCACAGAGGACACGCACCAGGTGACACCCAGCAGACCCCCACCCAACACACACAGAGGCCGTGCTGGGCCCCTCCTTTAAGCCCTCTGGTGCTGACCAGCAGAGTATGCTTAGGGCAGGGAGCTCAGCTCGGGAGGCGGCCCCTGGGAGAGCCCACAGACGCTGTGGTCTCCCCTGGCCTCTCCATCCGCCCCTCAGAAGCCTTTGTGCCATCACCCTCCTCTCCCAGCTAACGCACACTTAACCCCTGCTCATTGCACTGAACACTACAAGAAGGACCCTTTCCTCCCAGAAGGCAGGTGTATTCCTGAAGACACAAACAGCTGCAACAGGGGGATGGGGGATGGGGGGTGGGAGGGGCAGTCCCTAAGGGTCCCTGACAAATACCCAGAGGCTGTCTGAGCTGCCAGCCACCCTCTCTAAGTGGAAACCTCAGCAACCAAGCCCCCAACAAGTACCGGTTTTCCCGGCAGACATGCTGAGCTCTGAGACCTCATTTGTAACCCCCTTTTGTGCTGCTCTCTGCTTCCTCAACCCTGAGTTCGGAAGTCTGAGAGCTCTGAATACACTGAACTCCTACAGCTCCCCTCCCGGAAGACCGATCTGATAGCAGCCCCCTCCCTGGAAGGGACCTCCTGGTCTCAGAACTCTCTGAAAGGCTGAGGTGAGCTTCTGACAGGGGGTCTCACAGTCGCTGTGTTCTCAGACGCTGAGAAAGATGAAGGAGAAGCCGGTGTGGAAATAGGACAAGGAGGTCTACCCCGCCCCCTTCCCTTCCCACCCATGCCCCTCCCCCTCCCACCCATGCCCCTCCCCCTCCCACCCATGCCCCTCCCTCTACCTTACCCCCCTCTCCTCCAGGCAGCCCCTAAGGCCAGACCCGGCTTCCCAGCCCACCCAGGCAGTCCTACCACTTTAGCTCTTGGGGTGGGGTGGGGGAAGAGCCCATAGCGCCTGGGAGGATTTGGGGCTCAGTAAAGGCCAGAAGTGATGCTGGAGGGCAGGGGGCAGGACCCTCACCTAGTGCACCCAGGTCGCCTGCTATAGACCCAGACACCAAGACCTCCCGTTTAGCAAACTCCATTGCAGGGGTCGCCCCCACCCCCACCCCAGCTCCAGTCAGCTCCCTGCCCCCAGCCCTCCCCAACTCGACTCTTGAATTGAGGGGAAGTGGAGGTTGGTGCTGGACTGTCCCTGCCTTCCTACTCTCTTGCCCCTGCAGATGCCTTGGATGGGGGATGCTGAACCCTACAGTTGTGAGGCTAGGGGTGACCCCGTCAGTGACATCACTTCGGATGCGGATGCGGACCCCTTTACCCCTGCTGGGACCCTACTCCCACACTGCAGGGCGCACCGTTCCCTCCCAATGCACAGGGCTGCAGCCCACACAGGAGGCCAAAGAGAGGGGTGCTCCACCTCCTAACTTCTCCCCCCCACCCTCGCAACTCTCTGCACCTGGATGCGGCCCCCACAGCATCTCGTCCCTCCCTTCTCTGCAGTCGGATACCACCCCTTCAGCATTGTGTGCCCCCTCCCCCACTCCCCCCGCAGCTCCGGAGCACGCCCCCAACACACTTCCCTCCTCCACACTTCTCTGCACCCGGACATCCCCCCCAGCATCGCAGGTCCCCCTCCCCTACGCCGCGGGCACCCCCACTTCCCTCCTCCGCAGCCACATTCCGGGCCACACCCAGCAGCCTCCTCGAGTCCTGTCACGCGATGGGGCCTCAGCGCGCAGTGACAGCCGCCTGGACCCCAGCCAGGGCCTCGCGTGCGAGCAGGGCCGCCACCCCCACCCCACCTCCAGGCCTCCTGCCGCAAGACAGAAAGGAACCGAATGCGATTCCGATTGGAGGGGCGGCAGGGCAGCTTTCCCAAAATCCCTGCGCCCCTGAGCTGACAGGCCTGCCCCCCACTTCCCGGGTTTTCCAGTTCAGGGGTGCTCGGGATGTTGAAACACGGCAGCAAACTCTAATGGGGGGGTCATCACAGCGGGGCCCAAGGGCTCTGGATCAGTTCATTCCCGTGGTGGGTGACGGTAGTAACACAGCAAGGAGGTGACGGGAAGCAGCCCTCACCCCACCACCCCCTGCAGGCACCCCCACGTCCCGTCCCTGCAGCTCCTGGACTTAGCACTGCCTGGTCCCTCTGGGTCTGCTATTCCATCTCAGGTTTCTCCTGAGCCCCTCTTCTCCCTGGGACTCAGACCTGAGGGTCGACCTCGAAGGGAACCCGCCCCCTGAGAGGGGAGCTGGGTGGAGGTGGGGCTGTGGGCAGGAGTGCCAGCAGCCCACACTGGGCACACCCTGGGGGTCCCGCCCTCTCTACACCCAGTCTCCTACTGTAGGAGGAGGCAAGCCCACACCTCGGTTCCAGGTCCCCTTCCATCCGTGCCTGCCTGGCTGTGGTAATCCGTCAAGGAGAAGGGCTGGTGGGGGGCACGCGCGGGGTGTCTTTTCAGGGAGTTGGTGAAAGTGTGGAGAGCGTCGCTGTGCATCCCCCTTCCCAAGGCCCAGCTTGTGGGGGAGGTGGGAAGGAGGTTTCGTTCCAGGGACGAGAAGTGCCCAAGACCCAGGGTGCAAGGACTTCCCTGTGGGATAAACCGGTGACCCACAGGCCCATCCACATCCAAGTGTCCAGTGCTTGGCCTCTGAAGGGCAGTGGGGGTGGGGGGGTCCCACAGAAGCCCACAGAATGCCTGGGGCATTCGGCTTCCTGTCTGTCAGACAGAGCTCAGGCTGGGCAGCAGGGGCCAGGGCTGCCCACTCCCAGAAAAGAAGGGGGCGCAGTCTCACACAGCTGCCTGAACCCTGACAGTCTGGCCCTGCTGTGTCCTCCCCCACTGAGTCTCCACTCCAGCCACACTTAAGATTCTTACTGCTCCGTCCACTCTGTCCCCCAACTGGCTGCAGAATTAACTGGAACCAGCCTTTTTCTCATTTCATTGATTTCTTGCATCCCTGAAAAGTTTCATTTGGAACAGAGAGAATGTGAAGAATTATCATGGAGATAGTGGGTGTCTGTGTGTACCCATGCAGGGTGGGGTATGCTCAGACTGGGGCTGACTGCACCCTGCCTGCCAGCCCCCACCCAGTACTCCCCACCCTGCTTGCTAAGAGACCTCTAATTCCTTTGCATGGAGGAGACTCAGGGCAAGGTGTGACCCTAAGCTGAACCATGTATCATGGGTGCCCAGACCCCCACCAGTGGCTGCTTAGGGGTTATATGCCTTTGTCCAGCCAGTGGGAGGTGCCAAGTGCTCCTGACAGAAGTCAGGACACTCCAATCTCTGCCTCGGGACAGTGCTGTGATGCCCCAAAGGTGGCAGCCACTTTGCTCCCAGCTCAGGTGAAGCCGACTCTTTGGTGGACAGACAGGTGGGTCCAGGACAAGTGAGTTCACTATAGGTAAGTTCAGGACAGGTGGGTCCAGGACAGATGAGCCCAGGATGTGGGAGGCACTGAATGTGAATTCATGGGCTGTCTATGGGTTGGGGTACAGGACTCCAGTCACTCAGACTGATAGAGAGCCAGGGCTCCCAAAGGAGGCTGGACTGCAAACCTGATTCTGACCAGCTGTACTTCCTACACAGGACTGGTCAATGACCACAGACCGACCCTTGCCTTGAAAGGAACATATGTCTAGTAAAACCTGGCACTATTTTGTCATCAAGTCAAGAGCCCCAAGGGCTCTGCTCTGTGATTCGACATCCATGCTTGGGGTGGCACCCACAGCAAGTGTCATCTGGGGGTTTCTTCCTCTGCCCTGGTCCAGCAGCTTGCTGCCCCAGGCAGATGCAGCCCCAGGCCCTCACAGGTGGTGAAGGTCAGAGCCCACTTCA